TTGATAGAGACTGAACATTTAACCATGGGCCACAAAGTTACCATGCAAATTCAGCTGCTCATCATGAACTGGATGTTTTCTGGCCCACAAAGCCATTAAATTGGATTTGCACAGAAACACCCCATCATGAAATAGAAATGGTATGTAATCAATCTTAAGTGGTGCCTGAAGGCACAGGTAAGTTACATAAAGAAGTGGCCTAAAGGCTGTGGTCTCCAATCCTGCTACACTGCCTTCTCTCTCCCAGCTTGCCTTTATGGCCTCATAGAGGGTTTCCTACCATTAGCTGGCAAAGAGAGAGAAGATTTGGGCCTAGTTTACAGATGATTCTGTATTATATACAGGCACCACCTGAAAATAGACAGCTGCAGCACTATAGCTCCTTTCTTAGACATTCTTGAAGGGCACTGGTGAAAGGAAATTCTCTCAAGGAGGAAATTCAGGCAGTGTACTTGGTTGTACACTTTGCTTGATATGAGAAATAGTGAGACATGTGATTATATATCAGTGTGGTTTGGCTGACTGGTCAAGAACTTGGAAAAAAACATGAATAAAAGTGACAAATTTTGTGGAAAAGTATGTGGATAGATCTCTATGCATTGGCAAAAAAAATGTGAAGATATTTGGGTCCCATGTGGATGCTCACTAAAGGGTGACCTCAGCAGAGGATGATTTTAATAATCAGGTAGAAAGGAAGACCTATTTTGTGGATACTAGTCGGTCTCTATCCATAGCAACACCTATTATTACTCAGTGAGCTCATTGTAGTCATGACGAGAGGGAAGAGGCTATCGATGGGCTCAGCAACATGAAATGTTATGCACCAAGCCTGACATGGCTACAGTCATTAATCTGTCACCATTGAGTTCTAGATATGACACCATTCCCCAGGATGATCAATGAGCTAAACTGGTGGCAGGCTGATTATGTCGGACCAGTTTCATCACGGAAGGGGCAGTGTTTTTTCCTTGTTGGAATACAAACTTACTCTGGATTCAGATTTGCCTTCCTTACATGCAATGCTTATCAGACCTTATTCATCACCAAAGTATTATACTCTGCAATGCTTCTGATCAAGGAACTAACTTTATAGCAAAAGAAATGTGGCAATGGCCCTGCTCATGAAATTCACAGGCTTATCACCCTTCTGAAGCAGCTGGCTTGATTGAATGGTGGAATGGTTTTTCAGACACTCATTTATGGTGCCAGTTAGGTGGCAATAGCTTTCAGGGCTAGGACAAGGTTTTCCAGAAGATTGCATATGCTTTGAATCAGTTGTCCAATATATAGTTCTGTTTCTCCCATAGATAGAATGCATGGATCCAGGCACTGGAGGGTGAAAATAGAAGTGGCACCACTCACTGTTATCCCAAGTGACCTACTAGCAAAATTTTTGCTTCCTGTTTCCAGGACTTTATGCTCTGCTGGCCTAGAGGTCTTAGTCTCACAGGGAGAAATGCTTTCATTAGGAAATACAATGATTCTTTGAACTGGAAGTTAAGACCACCATCTGGCCACTTGGGGTTCCTCATGCCTCTGAATCAACAGGTGAAGAAGAGAGTTAAGGTGTTGGCTGAGGTGACTGATTTTGACTACCAAGAGGAAATTGGACTACTGCTCAACAATGAGGTAAGAAAGAGTATGTCTATAATACAGGAGATCTTTTAGAATGTCTCTTTGTATTACCATGTCCTGGTAATGAAAAACTACAACTCAATCAAGAAAGAACTAATCATGGTCTAGAACGTTTAGAAGTGAAGGTTTGACTCACCAAACCAGCTCAGTTGCATGCTGAAGTCAAAAGGAATACAGAATGGGTAGTAGAATAAGATAGTTATAAATACCAACTACAATGACATGACCAGTTATAGAAAGGAGGACTATAATGTCATGACTATTTCCTCCTCATTTTGCTATGAAAATAGTTGTGTGTATATCTACATATGTTAAGGAAATATCTTTTTTTTCTTTCCTCTCTTATTCTTTTACCATGCAACATAAGATGTATTGACTTTATATCAGTATTTAAGTATTGTTAATATTATCATAGTATTTAAATTCTGAGATATCTGGAGAAGAGCAAATATCATTCAAGGATTTTATCTCCTCTCCTGGGGAAGAAATTAGTGCATTTTTGGTTGCATGCAAGATAGTTATATCATGTTAGGCAGACTTATGTTACGTCCTTTATTTGGAGATTAAGTATGGTTTAAGGCTTCTCCTTAAACCATATTGCTGCCAAGTTGACAAAGGGATAGACTTGTGATGATTAATTTTGTGTGTCAACTTAGAAATACCCAACTATCTGATAAAACATTATTTTTGGGTGTGTCTATGAGTGTGTCTTTGGATGAGATTAGTATTTGATCAATAGACTGAGTGAAGACTATCCTCATGAATGCAAGTGGGAATCATCCAATCCCTTGAGGGCCTGAGTAGAACAAAAGTGGAGGGAAGGTGAATATGCTCCCTGCTTAAGCTGAGGCATCCATCTTTTCCTCCTCTTGGACATCCATTTGCACTCATGGTTCTTGTTTTTTTTGGACTCAGACTGGGACTTACACCACAGGCTCCCCAATCGTCAGGCCTTCAGACTCATACTGAATTACATCCCCAGCTTTCCTTGTTCTCCAGCTTGTAGATGACAGATCATAGGACTTCTTGGCCTCCATAACCATAACCATGTGAGCCCATTCCTATAATAAATCTTCTCAGCTATGTATCATCTATCTATCATCTATCTATCTATCTATCTATCTATCTATCTATCTATCTATCTATCTATCTATCTATCATCTATCATATCTATCTATCTATCTATCTATCTATCTATCTATCTATCTATCTATCTATCTATCTATCTATCATCTATCTATCTATCTATCATCTATCATCTATCTATCTATCTATCAT